GTTCATTTGGGGTTAATTCTGGCATGGGGTTGAAACTTTGACTGGTGGCTATTTGAAAAGGAGTGTAACCTGTGCTGGAGTGGACTGCATTATTGTAGGCAACTTCTGTGAAAGGGAGTAGGTCTGTCCAATCGGACTGTTGAAAATTAATAAAGCATCTTAAATATTACTCAAGTACTGAGTGACAGCGTTCTGTTTGTCCATCCCCTTGTGGATGATGGCTAGATGTTAGTCCCTGAGTGGTCCCTAACAGGGATAAAAATTCCTTCCAAAATGCAGACGTAAATTGCACTCCCCTATCAGAGATGATGCATTGGGGTGCCCCATGCAATCTGTAAATATACTGGACGAAAAGTTTCGCTAAGGCTTTTGCGGTGGGAATCTTTTGGCAAGGGATAAAGTGCACCTGTTTGGAAAACAAGTCCGTGACCGTCCAGACAACGGTACTCCCAGTGTAATGTTTTTACAAATCCAAAATGCCCTGCTGATTTTGTATCGTGGCAAAGCTGCATGAATGTGACTCTTTGGGTTGTTGGTATATATAACTTTTCCCCACCCAAGGCAGCCCGTCTCTCATTGTGCACACATTTTTGTTTTTCTGGAACCATTCATCTGTTTCCAAACTTTTCCGGAATTCAATTCTGGTTTGGCTGCCCAGCTGTGGTTTTAATTTAGCTTGGGCTCTGGTGGTTACTGGCGTTGCCAGTTGTGATTCTACCATCATCGGTTTAGAGTCGGTGGCTCGCGTGCTGTTATATTGGGGCATGCGAGATAGTGCATCTGCCAGGAAGTTCTTTCCCCCCGGCAAATGCTTGAGCGTAAATTGGAACTGGTGAAAATGCTGGGACCAGCAGGCTTGCTTGGGGTTGAGCTTCCTGGGTGTTTTCAGGGCTTCCAAATTTTTGTGGTCAGTCCACACCTGGAAAGGGATTTTGTTGCCTTCAAGGAACTGGTGCCACATGAGTAATGACCAACGTATCCCGTATGCCTCTTTCTCCCACACGGGCCAGCGCTGTTCCGTTTCCATGAGTTTCTTGGATGTATACGCACAGGGTTGCAATACCCCTTCATCGTTTTCTTGTAATAGTACAGCCCCCACTACCACATCACTTGCATCCGCCTGTATTACGAAGGGCTTATCCATGTCTGGGTGCCTCAGTACTGGTTCGGCAGAAAAAAGTCTCTTTAATCTCTCAAACGCTGCTTGGCACTCCATTGTCCATGTTAGTGGCTGGCTAGGTTTTACTGAGGATGCTCCCTTCGTTTTTAGTAAGTTCATGAGGGGCAGGGCTATCTGGGCAAATGAATTGGCGGTAAAAGTTTGCAAAGCCCAGGAAACTTTGCAGTTGCTTTCTTGTGCGGGGTGGTGCCCATTCTAATACTGCTCTGACCTTCTCTGGGTCCATTTCAATGCCCTGTAGGGATATGCGATAACCTAGGTAGGCTATCCTTTCCTGGTGGAATTCGCATTTCGAGAGTTTGGCATATAGGTGGGCGGCTCGCAGTTTCTTTAAAACCGCTCTGACTAGGTTGACATGTTCCTCTTTTGATTCGGTGAAGATAAGAATGTCGTCTAAGTAAACCAGGACCCCCTTAAATAGGTGCTCCCTTAGAACGTCATTAATTGCATAAATACTGCGGGGGGGGGGCTTGTAATCCAAATGGCAAGACTTTGAATTGGTAGCACCCCATGGGGCAGTTAAATGCGGTCTTCCATTCATCCCGTTCCTTAATTCTCACGCGATAGTAAGCTTCCCTTAGGTCTAGTTTAGAAAAAAATTTCCCTTTCGAGAGGTGTGACAACATGTCTTTCATGAGGGGCAGAGGGTATAGGTTGCTTTCACTGATTGTATTCAGGGCCCTATAATCCACGCATAAGCGTAAAGAGCCGTCCTTCTTCTCTCTAAAGAGGATCGGGGCAGCCACTTTAGGCTTGGCTGGCTCAATGAACCCCCTTTCTAGGTTTTTCTTTATGAATCTTTCCATTTCCTCCTTCTCCTTTAGGCTCATGGAGTATAATCTGGGCTTCAGGAGTTTTGCCCCAGGCTTGAATTCAATGGCACAGTCCGTGAGTCAGTGGGGGGGGGGGAGCTCATCCGCCCTCTCCTCACTGAAAACTTCAGCAAGGTCTCTGTATTCTTCTGGTATTTCTGGTAGTCCCTTTTCCTCTCCCATGGATGCTTTTTCTGTTCTTGATTCTAGTAGCCCCCCTTGGGATTTTAAGTCCATAGGGTCCCCCTTCGAGAATTTGATTTCTGCCGTCCTCCAATTCACCCAGGGGTTTCATTTTTTTAACCATTCCATCCCTAGGATCATCGGGCATTCCATGCCTGGGGTCACTACAAACGTTATATCTTCCTCATGTTTGCCCAGGGAGAGGTGTATTGGTAAAGTGGCTAGGGTAGCTGGCACCCCCCTGCTATGGACCCATCTAACTGGCCAAATGAGATTGGTTGTTCCAGTCTCCTTGACAGAATGCCCAGATTCCCCACTAGCGTCGGGCTAATGAGGCAGCGGGTGCAGCCAGAGTCAATTAAGGCTTTCACCTTCACGGCTTCGGGCATGGGGGGAATTAATATAGTCACTGTCCTGAGGATGGGTGCGATGCGTCCACTTACCAGGGGTTCACCCTCTGAGCTGTCGTCTGAGGCGTCCACTGGCCCTGCGGTGTAGGTTGGAGTTCTTTCCCCCTGATGAGCAGAGGTGGGGGATTCCACAGCCTCCATCATTCTCATGGCAGGTTCTTTTGGCTTAGCTGGAGACTTCCGGATTTGCTGGCCGGTGATCTGTCTGGGTTGTGCTGGGGGGCTTTTGAGTGGCATTCTACAGCCCAATGCCCTTCTCTCCCGCACTTGAAACACCCCATTTGCTTCTTGGCCATAGCCGATGGTTTCACTGGTTCACGTGTCAACTCAGGCGGTGAGCGGCTCCATTGTGTTCCTCGGCGGTGCCTCTTCAGTATGTCAATTTCTGCTTCCTCTGCCAAGACGTACCATTCCTCAAGTTGGTGTGGGTCCCCTCGGGGCAGGCAAGCGTCATATAGGTCATAATTTAGTCCGCCTTTGAAATGGCTAAGGAGGATGTCTTCCGGCCAGTTCAGTTTGCTGGCAATGGCCCGGAATTCTTGCGTATATTCGGCTACCGGGCGTTTGCCTTGTCTCATCGTTTTGATCCTTTCGCGGGCTTTGCGATCAGCCAGGGGGTCCTTAAATCGCCTTCTCAGAGAAGACATGAAACGGTTGAAGTCGTTGAGCTCTGGGCCATTGGAGTTGTGCAAGTTCACCACCCAATCTGCGGCCGGCCCGTCCAGGGCAGATTGCATGATCCGGATACAGGCTTTGTCGCTGGGGATGTGCCGTCCGTATTCCTCCATATAGCTGAGGACTTGGGTTAGGAAAAACCCCAAGCGTGTTGGCTCCCCCTTGAATCTCACGTCCAGCGGCGGGAGTCTTTGAATGGATCGGTGCCTTCGTTGTCGGTGGTAGTGTCTTCCATCCAGATCGTCGTCTGCGGGTCGGCAGGGAGTGGGGACTACTGGATCAGATGTCCCCGGGGCTGCAGGTTCCATTTCCCCCTCGGTGTCTCTCCCTTTGAGGCTCCAGGAGCTGGGGCGGCTGTAGGGCTCAGAATTCTCCTCTCCTAGGGAGCGGAGAGTTCTCTTCACCAGGTTGATAGCTTTCTCTAGGATCCAGCCCAAGTACGGTGCCCAGCTCCCTTCCTCTTCACTTGCGTGCAGGGATTTCTCCATCTCCTCCTTCCATTCTGGTTGGTTGGCGCCCCATCTCAGGGTCACCTTTCTTGATTTCTTTTCCCACTCGCCTTTCTTTCCAACGCCCATTGACCACCGAGGTTTGTGGTCCCGTGTCTCCAACACCTCTTCTCCTGAGGAATCTGACCTCTCAGATCCCGACATCTGGCAGGCTTTCAGTCGGGGCAGCGGCTCCCTTCCTGGGGAATTTTCTCCCTTCCCTGCTCCGTCGTCTGACATGGTAATTTTTGCAAAGTCCCCCGGCAAGGTTCTCCCTTCCAGGTGGACTAATTCTGCAGGTCCTGTCTAATGTAAGGACCCACCCCACTTTGCATCTTAAGAAGACAGAACTCTTGGAATAGTTCTTCCAACAGGCATCTTTATTAAGAGAAAATGGTTGCAGGCGTTCTAGACAGGACCTGGGGCCCAAGCCCTACCATTCAAGGTTTTAAGGGGTCCCCAACAGCCCCACCCCACCCCACCATCCTTCCAGCGACAATCCCAGGCGTTACATTTCCACCCTTTTTTTCCTCACTGCCGGTGGAAGGGAGACTTCAGAGGGGAGTAGATGAAAGCTGATAGCCCCATTGTTATGATTAGTCCTTTTGGTGGTATCCATATTCAGTCCCTTTGAAGTTGTACCGAAGGAAGTGAGGGCCATAAAACCTCTTTGTTCACCCCCCTTCCCCTTCATCGTATGACAGAATCCAGAGAGGGCAGAAATAGTCGATAACTAGAGATGAAATATAATTGGATTCTGACAGAGACTCCAAATGATGTTATAATATCAACATACATCACATAATCAAAACCAAGTCATATATACTCCTATAAGTGTATATTCTCCAGCATTAAGCATACTAACTCTCTTAGCCTTTTGAAAGGGCTGGAAACCTGGCTTTGCCAATTGGCTTGGGACCGATGAGGGTTCCTATGCTATAGATGGTTAGCAGGCTAAGAAGACGATCTCATCTATAACCCAGGTTCTTAGTTCATCCAGTTTTATGTTAATGTCCAGTGTTTTAATGTTTTATATTGCTGTTTTTATGATGTTGCAAGCTTCCCAGAATTGCTTGGCACTAAAGTGGGCAGCGTAGGAATTTAATAAATGAAACACCTCAACCTCTATTCAATTGATGCATATAGATAACTACTTCCTGTACAAAACATTAAAATTATGTTGGAACAGTTTTCTTCTCATTGTTTTCTCTAACTCAGTGTTGAAAAACTGACAACTTTATATCAGGAGTAACATTTTTATTAATCATGTTTACATTAATTTTTAAGCCCACTGGAGTCAACATTGTGTATACAGTCTCATCACTCTGATTGGAGCTCTTGTCTCATAAAAATTTGCTGGAGGACTTTTCTCCCAGAAGCAAAGCAGGCTGTGGCTATCAAGACAAATAACTAGACTGAGGAAATAGACGCCTGTATTTCCATAGGGCAGAGTCATTTATGATGACCTTTACTTTAGCTGTATTATCTTCAGGAGCAACATCAACTTCTTGTACTACTGCTTCTTTGTACAACCAACTGCAATGATACAATACAACTGGTGTTTTATTACTAGAGAAATAACATTATTAATCATAGTATCACAAATCCCATGGTCTTGAGGATTAGAAATGTATCCCAAGCTTGTGTGTTTTCTCTTACTCTTTGTAAAATTGAATAATTTTAATCTGAAATGATAGTTTGGAAAACTTTTTGAAATGGGTTTCCTGAGGTTTGAAACTTACAAACACAGTAGTCTTCAACATATGACCATTTGCTTAGTAACTGTTTGAAGTTATCATCTACCTCAAAAAGGGGACTTACAACCCAGATCCGAAGTTCTAATAGTTGCCTTCCCTGCAGTCATGTGATTGCTATTTGGGTGCTCAGGAACATGGTGGCATTTATGGCCATTTGCAGCACTCTGCAGTCTGGTGGCCATTTTTTAAGACAGTTTTGCAGAAAACCAGCATCTGGCACTTCCAATTTTTGATAAAACTGCCCCATAGTGAATAATGGGTTCGCTTAACAACATGTGACCAGAGCTCTGCAGCTTATACTATAATATCTATAGCTTGGTTTTTACTGTTGGCAGGGCAGCATTTGTGAAAATGCGCAGCCAATAAATTAACAATTATTAAACAAAAGAAAAATTATTTTTAGATATTAAATGGGCTTAGCAAATAAACCTGGATGAGCAAGTAGTATTAAACTTGTCTAAAGAGTCAATACAGCAAAAAGAACCAAAAGCAAACTGTTTCTAAAATGTAGAATTTTGATACTAATTTGCATGATTTCCAGCTATTGCTGATGTGTAGTTGTCACTGACCTGAGCTGAGGTCCAGATAAATTGATTTTAATTGTTATAATTTTTTTCCCAGTTCCTTTCAAAACTCTTGCCTCAATTTCTTCTTTCAGCTCTTTTAAACCGTGTTCAAGGAGAGCTGAAGTGACTATAGCGTTTTGTTCTTTAGGTTGATATCTAGCAGCAAACAGACATCATAAAAATAGACCTTGAACACAGGAGACAATTGTGAAAAACTATAGAAATTTAGCTTGTTTATATAACAGACACATTTCATAGGACTATAGATTTCATATTTTAGTTTGTACTAAATAAGTAAGAACCATTTATTTTTTTGGTGAGTATTTATCATATATTAATATTGTAGAAAAATAACCTACATTACATACTACCGTATATACTCGAGTATAAGTCGACCCGAGTATAAGCCGAGGGACCGATTTTCCCACAGAGAACTGGGAAAAATTGGTGACCCGCGCATAAGCCGAGGGGGCATTTTGGCTGTTCCTCCCTGGCCGCCGCCCCACCCCC